AAGAGAGATAGAGACACAGAGAGAGAGAGAGACAGAGAGAGAGAGAGAGAGGACACACCAGAGAGAAGACACACAGAGAGAGAGACACACAGAGAGAGAGACACACAGAGAGAGAGACCAACAGAGAGAGAGACACACAGAGAGAGACACCACAGAAGAACGACCACAGCAGAAGAGAGAGACACACAGAGAGAGAGCAGACAGAGAGAGAGAGACAGAGAGAGACAGAGAGAGACAGAGAGAGACAGAGAAGGGAGGGCAGAGACGGAGAGAAAGAGAAATGATTTGAAGGTTACCTTTTTGTTGTGTTAATCCACATCACTGATATTCTCTTTAATGTATGTCACTGAGCTCTGACCCGATATTGGAGGGAAGCTCCACAACCATTCTTCCCTGCTTCTTCATTTCTGTGTCTTCCACTTAGTACTATTACTGCAACAAATATCCATTGAACACAACTTTGTGCTAGTCACAAAAATGGATGAGACACAGATCCAGTCCCTGCGCTTGAAGGGCTCGGCATGGTGTGGGAGAGGCTGGGAAACACATTTGGAAGCTTTAGACAAAGCAGGATTCTGTGGGTGTCAATGATGAGAGCAATCCATTATGAGCAGAAGGATTGGGGAAGGCTTCGGAGGAGGAGCATTTAACCTGATCTTGAAGTGTGTATACAATTTGGACACAGGGAAAATATGAAAAAAAAACTGAAGAAAGGAAAGAAGTCACAGACTGGAGAGTTTTGGGCAGAAGCAATTGTGCACTTTGGCTGGAGTGTAGCATGTTCATGAGGTAGATGTAATGAGAGATGGCACTAGAAACTAGGCTGGGGACAGATCTGACGTGGCCTTTATTACCATGGCAAGAAATGTGGACTTCATCCAGTTAGTAATTAAAGATTTGGCCTGCAAACTTGTAAGCAAAGGAGTGAGAGGGTCAGATCTTTGATGAAGGAAGTTATCTGTCTAAGCTATGTTGGGCACATGTGCTCAACATGGGCTTATTTTCTGCCCAGGGACACGGGACAATTCAAGCTTCTCAGATAATAATGATAAGGACGTGGACATTTTAAACAAGAGATAAGGAATCTTGGTGACAACACTAGCCAGTTCTGGAAAGCCCTGCCCCATGAAATGAACAACTGTTCGCTCATTTTAAAAAGAAGGAAAAGGTAGCATGAGCAAAGGGAAAACATGAACATTAAAAATTTGGCTGGGCGCTGTGGCTCATGCCTATAATCCCAGCCCTCTGGGAGGCCAAGGTGGGAGGACTGCTTGAGTCTAGGAGTTTGAGACTAGCCTAGACAACATAGCAAGACTCTGTTTCTTAAAAATTTTTTTTTTTTTTAAAGTAAGATCAGCCCAACTAAAAAGGAGGGGAAAGAGGAAGAAAAGAGCTGATCTGGAGACTCAGACCTGTGAGCAGAGAGATTCTAAAGATAGCCCAGGTGAGAGAGAGAGCAGGACTTGAACTAGCACATCAGGGATGAAAAGAAGGAATTTGAGGAAGGAGAATTGGTGGGGTTTATTGATATAGAGTTTGGGGAACTGGAAATTAAAAATGATTCAGATTGTGTTTCTAAAATGTGATTTGGTAGAACATTACAGAAGCCTTAAATTTTCCTACCTATTGATCTTATGATTTTACTTCTAGGAGTTTATCCAGAAAACAATCCCAGATGAGTATACAATGTATGTATAATACGCTTATCACAGTATTGGCATAGCAGAAAATACTTAGAAACAACCAGTGAAGATATATAAAATTTTAGTACCTCTAAAAGAAGAGATAAATAATGACACGATGAACTTCTTTTGATAGCTATAATCACATTAAGGTCAAAAGCAAACAAGCCAGGAATCACAGCATATAGTATGGTTCCAATTTTGTAAAGAAACTCCATATACATATAAAAAGAAGAAAAAAACACAACAAGATATTAACCATGACTATCTCTGACAAGATTATTGACTTTTTCATACTTTCTCAAGCACTCTAAAATTTTATGTAATTAACCTATATTGTTCTAATTATGAAAATTGTCAGAATCAAAATGGACTCACTAGTGTTAAAAAACACCCTGACATATAGAGCCAGAAGGTGGCTATGAAAAGAGGGTCTCACATTTGCATGCTCGATGACAAAAACTATCACAAAAGACTGCAAAAACCACGCCTGGCACAAACAATACTTTTGCGTGGACATCTGCCCAGCAACTGCCTGTCCAACCTCAAGACTGGTGTCACCCTTGTTATTGATCTTTGTAGCTAAGAACAATTATTTCAAAGCAATTAGACAATCCTCCCCATTTTTCCTTTAAAACCCTTGTTTTTCTTTTCCTCTCTGAATACACACATAGTTTACCATGGCACATATATCTCCATTGCAATGCCCTACTCCCAAATAAATATCCTTTTCTTTTACAGAGACTCTTGCTGTTTCTGTTATTTAGTTTGACATAACAGAAAAAAATAAATGTAATGTAAAGTAAATGACTGAACCTTCTGACCTAAGTTACTTGCAGAAAGACTTGTCAAAGACTTAGATTTTAATAGTTTATTGTCTACAGCCATACCACCCTGAATGCACCCAATCTCATCATAATATAGTTGATTACAAAAGCACAATATTAAAAATGAAATAAAAAGTTGAGATCAATAAAAATAAAAATATACCATTTTTAGTTATAAGGTTCAACAGAGTTGCTGTGATTAAATCAGCTTATGAGCTTCTGGCAATTAAGGCAAAAAGGAAAATCAGGATTGGCATAATTTTAACTGAGTTTCATACCAGACCTGCAGGGGAAATACTATCTTTCTAAGCACTGGTTTCTAAATAAATTCCTTACCCAGGTTTGTGGTAGAGGAGACTGAGTGATACAAATATCAAATATGCTATTTCATTTTAATAAACTGATATAATAGTGCCATGCCTTGATGTGTTTCTTATAATGACTTTCACAAATTTCTAGGACGTAAGATGAAAACTTCATAAAGGTGCTACCACCAAAAGATGTAGCTTAGTATGTATCCTTCTGTGGGTTTAGATAGATCCAGAAAATCCAGCCTAGATCATCAAAAGAGTATTTCTTAAACTTTAGTGTGGCAGGGAGCAGTGGCTCATGCCTGTAATCCTAGCACTCTGGGAGGCTGAGGCAGGTGGATTGTTTGAGCTCAGGAGTTCGAGACCAGCCTGAGCAAGAGGGAGACCCCATCTCTACCAAAAATAGAAAGAAGTTAATTGGACAGATAAAAATATACAGAAAAAAATTAGCCGGGCATGATGGCGCATGCCTGTAGTCCCAGCTACTTAGGAGGCTGAGGCAGAAGAATTGCTTGAGCCCAGGAGTTTGAGGTTGCTGTGAGCTAGGCTGATGCCATGGCACTCTAGCCCAGGCAACAAAGTGAGATTCTGTTTCTAAAACAAAAACAAAAAAAAAACAACAACAAAAATACTTTAGTGTTCTTAAGAGACACGTAGGTTGTTTAAATAGTTTCCTAGGTCCTTCTCCCTAAAGATTCCAGTTTAGTTGGCCTGGGGCATAGCCTTGGAATCTTCACATTAAACAAACACCCATATAGTATTTGATGCAGGTCGTCTGGGAAACCCATTTAACATCGATCTAGAGAGGTGGCTTGTTTCCAAGTCCCTTTGGCATGCTGCCTAAATAGTGCTACTTTCAGCAGTCTGCACCATTAGCAAGAACCTGCAGTCCTGGAGTTCTGAATGAGTAGCTTTCAAACCGGGTCGTGTATAACCCTGAGGTTCCACAGAAACTTCACAAGGGTTTCTTGCCAGATGGTTTTCAAGACATTCATTTATGTACCTTAACTGCCCTCTGCACTGTTTTCTAAAATCCATCTGCAGTGGAGATATAGAGCCACCAGGGAGCGGTCTTCTCTTCCCCAACTGCACTTTTGTCCCTCAACCCCCCACCTGATGTCTATTCATTGCCCTGGAGTGTTAAAAATCTCTAGGCTGATGATCTAGAAAACATTAATATTAGCATCCAGTTGGACACTTGTGTCTGGGTAGCAAATATTCCCACAAGCCAGGTGCAAAATGAAAGAAATTCTAACTGATTTGTCAGCTGATAGATGACTGGAATACCTTTGATGATAGATCACATTGTAGTTTTTTTTTTTTTTTTTTTTTTTTTGAGACAGAGTCTCGCTTTGTTGCCCAGGCTAGAGTGAGTGCCGTGGCGTCAGCCTAGCTCACAGCAACCTCAAACTCCTGGGCTCAAGCAATCCTCCTGCCTCAGCCTCCCGAGTAGCTGGGACTACAGGCATGTGCCACCATGCCCGGCTAATTTTTTCTATATATATTAGTTGGCCAATTAATTTGTTTCTATTTATAGTAGAGACAGGGTCTCGCTCTTGCTCAGGGTGGTTTCGAACTCCTGACCTTGAGCAATCCGCCCGCCTCTGCCTCCCAGAGTGCTAGGATTACAGGCGTGAGCCACCGCGCCCGGCACACATTGTAGTTTTTGGTATATCATTCCAAAGAAATTCAAAGAGTTAAAGAACATTGCAATAACAATATACCTTCCATTTCACTTGTCTATGTCAGGGGTCCTCAGACTTTTTAAACAGGGGGCCAGTTCACTGTCCCTCAGACCGTTGGAGAGTGCACGCTGTGGGCCCCGGATGAGTTGGCTGCTGAGCAGGACAGGCAGCGGCGGCAAAAACACCCAGAGGGCCGGATAAATGTGCTAGGCGGCCTGCATGTGGCCCACAGGCCATAGTTTGAGGATGCCTAGCTATGTGAATGAAGCATCTCATCACTGTTGACTAAAGAAAAAAATTAAGCTTGTAAAGAATTAAAGTTAGTTTTATTCAGAATTCTTGCTTAGAACTATAGACTGATGCTTACAGCCCCTGGGAGCAGCCCGTTAGAGGTTCAGACTGCTCTGCACAGTATTTAACACATTGACTACCACAGTAGAAAAAAACTTTTTTCCTTGTGGCCACGATGTTTTATTACAAAAATAGAATAAAAACTTCAGAAACGATCCTTTCTAATTTAATGAAAAATTTGGGTTTTTTTTATTGTTTTCTGTGCATGAGTTATATGCAACTTGAAAATAGTTCATAGTTTGTAAGGTAAAGAGATGTGTGAGTTACATGTGCTTCATGAGGCCTCGGGCTCAGAACTAGCATGAGTTAAATACAACTCACGCGGCAGTTAATGTGTTAAGCCCACTGATTACACACAGGTGGTGGAGGTTCAGTACACGCAAAATCACATCGAACTTGCTCAGAAGTTACATGAAAGCAGAATCACATCAAGGTTTGAGTGTAAGAATGCATCTGGTTATGGATTATAGAAGCATAATTATTAATCTTGTTAGACGTTATTTTTTACATGCAGAAAAAGGCAAAGATAGGGGTCATTTATCTTTTAAGGAATATAGTGACTCAGCCGAGAGACATGGGGGCCCATATGCTCTATCCTGTTTTGTCTTCAAAGCATCTTTCTGGAGAGCTGCATGTCATCACAGACATGGGTTTTGTGAAGTTATATGGGCAAGCAGAAATTAGCAAACATGGCTTTTTATGTTTGTTA